ATGGGCAAAGTACAGTCTACAAACATGAGCATCTATTTATTGGGAATATTCTATGTAACTAACCTTGTTAGCCCTTGGCTCAGGGGGCCTACTACACCTACAAATTTTGTGTCCAAAAAAGCAGTGCTAAGTCCATTCTCCAGTTACCATAAACGACTTGACAAAATCAACAGTCTGCTGATGAGCTAATCTTCTGATAATGGGAGTGAAAAGATAGAATGTCTAGATCTGGATCAAAACCAGCTCAATCATTTGCATGGCAATTTCAAATACAGATAGAGTCTAAAGTAAAATTTGTATTGCTGTTATGAAGAAATGAATTTACATTTTGCCTGGGCCACTCAATAATTATTCTTTAAAACTACAAAGAGCAAGCAAGATATAAGACAATTATAGGAAGGAGAGCAAATATGGAATCAATCTTGCAGCAAGAGCCCAGAAATGACTGTCCAATCATGAAACAATTTGAAGAGAGAAAAATCTGTGAACATTTAGAGGGACGGTGAAATCATAAGCAGTAAGTGGAAAGATTTGTGAATATCGAACCCTGCCAAGTCCAAAGTTCTCCTCCCCCATACTAAGATTTCAGAATTATTCAATTAAATAAATGTTTTAGAAAGCCACCCCACGTTTGGGAGCACAATTGATCATGAGTATAGAAAAGAAATATGGCAATCTAAATGTAGAAGGGAACTTCCAAGAGCATCTGCTTCAGCCTTCCAATGTAACAGACGAAGAAACAGAGGTGGAGGGGTTAAGGGATTTATCTCCGTTCCCACTGTTTTCCAGCTTCTTATACACAGAGTCCTTCCTTCTATACCATATTCTTCCATTGTTCACATGGAGGGATAACAAATCTGAACTGAAAGTTTGTATAATAAGCATAAAGGAAAAATAAATGAAATTCAGATGTTTCGTAGATGTGAAAAACTCCAAAGATTATAATGTGCAAAACAAAGAGGGATACTAAGTCATCATACCTGCTGCCATCAGTGGAGATTGGCTCATGGCATATTTTTATTTATGCTGTTGGTCAAAGCATGAAACACAGAGAACACATTCATTTTCTATGCCATTAAGCCAGGAGGGCAGCTACAAGCTTAAGCCTTCTAGGGAGGTGGTGAATGCACGACTTTCGCTGAGAACATTTCCTCTTATTCTCCAAAAAATATTTAGGTGAAATAGGCCAGGTGCAGTGGCTCATACCTGTAATCCCAGCACTTTGGGAGGCCAAGGCGGGCGGATCATGAGGTCAGGAGATCGAGACCATCCTGGCCAATATGGTGAAACCCCATCTCTACGAAAAAGTACAAAACTTAGCTGGACATGGTGGTATGCACCTGTTGTCCCAGCTACTCTGGAGGCTGAGGCAGGAGAATCTCTTGAACCCAGGAGGCAGAGGTTGCAGTGAGCTTAGATCATGCCACTGCGCTCCAGCCTGGTGACAGACTGAGACTCTGTCTCAGAAAAAAATAAATAAAATAGGTGAAATAAAGCCCGGAGAGGGTGGAAATTAGAGCACTGTCCAGCCTTAAGATTTTAAGATGTTTTACTGCCATTTTTTAAAATAATTTTTTAACATCGCATTATGGAAAATATCAGACCATACATCAAAGTAGGCAGAATAGCATTGAACCTCATGTACCCATCAATACCAACTTCAGCTTCAACAATATCAACTTACAGTCAATCTTGTTTCATCAATATTTCTACCTACTTCCTCCCTTTCTTAATATTTTAAAGTCAATCCCAGGTGATAGTATGTGATTTCATCTATAAATGTTTTAGTCTGAATTTCTAAAAGATAGGCACTCAAAAAGCATGATCACCATGCAATTATCACACCTATGAAAATTAACAGTAATTATATCATGAAATGGCCAATGTTCAAATTTCCATTTATTTCCTATCTCTTTTAACAGTTTGTTCAAATTGTCATCCAAATAAGGTCACTTTATCTCTTTAATCTCTTTGAAGGAGCAGTTTCATCTTCCCCCTGCCCTGCAATTTATTTGTTGAAAACCCCACTTTGTTTGCCTAGAGTCTCCCACAGTCCATGTTCATCCCACAGAATGAATCCCTGTGTGTCCTTGGTCCTCTGTATTTCAAGGTAGTTAGTTCTAGAGCTGTGCTGCCCCATAGGGTAGCCAGTAGCCACACTGTAGCTATTTAAATGAAAATTAAGTCCTATTAAAAATTCAGTTTCTCAGTCACACCAGCCACATTTCTAGTGCTCAGTAGCCAGCCACAAGTGGCTAATGGCTACCTATGGGCAGCACAAACATACAGAACATTTTCACCATCTCAGAAAATTCTGTTGGACAACCCTACTCTAGAGGTTTAAATAAAACTCTATGAGGTTGCTTTGGGGGAAGTAGACATTGAGTAGTAGGTGAGTCATCCACCAAGTCTTTGACTCACAGTTGATCTCCTACACAGCAGTCACTTTAAACCTCCACAACAGGACTCTGAAGATAAAATAAAAGTTCAGGAAATACGTGTGTTTTTAAAGTTATGTAAGTAGTATACCTAAGCATATTTTTCTGATTTCCTTTATTACTCAACTCTTTAAATGAGATTTGACCATGTTGAGATATTTATGTGCAGTTTATTCATGTTAATCAATGTATAATATTGCATCACTTTTTATATCCCAGTTGACTAATTAGATTGTTTTCGGTTTTCTGTGTCATACACTGAGCTTCAAGGAACATCGTTGTATGACTTTTGCCTCCTGTTACATATGAGTAAAGGAAGCAAGCTTGACATGAAATTGCTGGGACATTGATGTGCACATCTTTAATTCTTAACAGTTATTGCCCAATCACGCTCTAAAATGATTATAACAATTTACACTCCCACCAACAGTATGCGAATGTTCCCAGTTTCTTACATAGTTACCAATAGGAGCTCATGTATATGCAGCAAAAGGATTAAAACAAGCATAAAAAAGAAAGGGAAAGGGATGGAGAAGAGAGTCATGACTTAGCTCAATCTGCAGTGTTATCTTTCTTAATGAGAAAAAAATGACAAAAAGTTAACATTTGTTAAATGTGAATGGCGGGCACAGAAGAGTTGGTTATGTCATTTTTTAGCATTGTTTGGTAGATTTACACTATCAGAATTAATTTTTATTTTATAGTCTTTTTTAATGCAAAGATGTAATAAAAAATTACACAGTTGTGCTATAAAGAGCTTCCTCCCTCCCCCCCAAAAAAAATTAGACAGCACATAGTTTTGGATATGGAATTATCTGTTATCTGCTAGGTTTTTGTTTGTTTATTTCTTTGTTTCAGTTTGGAGATTTTGTTTTGGTGGTTTATTTATTTATTTTGGCATTTCATTTTTAAAAGACAACACATAGGGTGACAATCCATTGTTTTTATTTTCTCCAGATGACCTGCAGCTCCTGGAGTATTTCCATCAAGCTTAATTTGGTCAAATACAGTATTGCCAACTAATTGATTTATTTTATTCCTCTATGCTATATTATATGTCAGCAAGGTGATTTAGTGTATACTTTCATGCTTTATTATATAATATATCACATAGCATTTGCCTCCTCTATGGATGATATAAACTAAAGAGAGGGCAAACTGTAAATGAAACCTTTGCTTGGATTAGTGTCAGGTTTTGCGGAGCATTACTGACTAGTTGCCATTGACTCATGAGCTATGTGGACAAGATAAATTATCTGTCCCTGACACGGAGGCAGGCTCAGTTTTAATATCATTATATTTGCCATGATCACTTTAAAAATCCAAACTAGAACTCTTCTAAAGAACACGACTACAAGGCCTGATTAGCCTGATTTGTCAGTCCAGAAACAATTCTTAAATCTCTTTTATATACAAGGCACCCTGCTAGGCCCTTTGAGAAACATAAAGACAGACAAGCATTGGTTCTTGCCTCTGATAACTTACAACCGGGCAACCCTTTTCTTTTACAAAACTAACTACAAAAATTTTATTTTTATAGTCAGAAGCTCACTCTGGCTTTGTTCTATTTTGATCTTTATAACTTATTTTAAAGATCATTCAGCAGTTATTCATTGCTCGGTCAGTCTTACTGACCTTGGGCCAAAAGCAGTAACATTTTGACCTGGCCTGTGGGACTCAGCTCTTCCCACTCCATGAAGCTGGGGGTGTAAATAACTTCAAATAAAACCCTCCTGGCAATCTGTGCTAGGCACAGCATGAGAGAGAAATGGGACAAAGCAGGGGAAAGAATCAAGTGGGAGTATCCAAGAATAAATGAGAATGTTATCCATGTTTTAAGCATCTTTTTCCTCCCCTTAAGATATTCTGCTTCTTTATTAGTAGGTACAAAAAAGAAATAATGAGAGGAAGCAACAAACCAAAATGCCAAAATGCAACACACTCCCCTCTATGCGTGGGTCTTCCACATGGATTTCTTTGGGGTTGAACATGTAGCGTAAATCACAGCAGCAAAGAACTCAGTGAAGACACACTTCTTATGTTTATAAACAGCCAGGGGAAGTGACCACCTTGAAGGTGGGGCAGTGGAGTCTGTGAGTGTTTGTGCCCATTTGTGTGTATGTGTGCATATGCACACAGGTATCACACATATGCCTGCTCATGAACAACACAAGGAGAAAGAATGCTCTGCAGGAGGAATGGCCATGTCTTGAAGCCATTCACAACTTTATGGTGTCTGAACTTCAAAACTGAGCAGTTCTGAAGGCCATTTAGTGGCAGCAGTGCAGGACTTCCTGAGACAAGAAGTTCGGCTCATAAAATAGAGATGCAGCTGGCCAAAAGGACATGAAAAGAGCTCTTTGCAAACACCAGCCTGGGAAGGGTAGTGTAAATGATTCAGAAACATCTGGCTGATACTTCCCCTGAGGTTCACAGAGGATGAACTGGTTATGAAGGACCTGGTTAAATGAATGCCATCAGGCAACTTCACTAGTCCAGAACACTGGGGAAAAAGCATGGAGATGATACCATCACAACTAGAGTGCTTCAGGAAATAAGCCTCCCTGTGTCAGCAGAGAAGGGTTAGGAATAAAGTGTTTCAGTTACACATTCTTATTCTTGATCTGGCCAAGGCATCTCCTCCATGAGATCGATAGTACATCTGCATGATCCCGATGACTTCATATGGAGGCCCATGTGCCTTTTTATTCATCTAACACCTACAAAAAAAGAAAAAAATCTAATCCTGTGCTAAATTGAATCAGAGCAAATGTCAAAAGGGCTGAATAAAAAATTACCTCTATAATAAGAGAAATAATTGGAAGATTGATATTGTGATTCTGCCATTGAGTCCCATGGCTCTAGGCCAGTTTACCTCAACAGCGTGAGCCTCAGTTTCCACATCTTTAAAAAGGGAATGACAATATTTCACATAATTGTTGAAAGGACTGAAATAATGTAAAAAGAAGTACTTTGTATACACAATAAATATATGACAAATGTTTATTTCAATAAATAAAAAGGAAGAATACATCTTGGGCATGGAGACACACCCATAGCATTAATTCTCCATAATCTTTATAGCCAAGTAGAATGCTAGCTGTCAGTGAAGAGGCTGGGTTGAAGGCAGCTCGCATCTTGTGCTCAATTTCTTCTCTCTTCCCCTCCTGCAGTCGGCTCCTCCCTGAAGAAGAGGTTCAAGCGGCGGGAGATCGAAGCCATCCAGTGCGAAGTGCGGAAGATGTGCAACTACACCAAGATCCTGTCCACCAAGAAGAACCTGGACCACGTGAACAAGATCCTGAAGGCCAAGCGGCTGCAGAGACAATCAAAAACAGGCAACAACTTCGTCAAGAAGAGGCGCGGGCGTCCCAGAAAGCAGCCCACCCAGTTCGATGAGGACTCCAGAGACCAAATGCCGGTGCTGGAAAAATGCATCGACCTGCCCAGCAAAAGGGGCCAGAAGCCCAGCCTGAGCCCGCTGGTGCTGGAGCCCACCGCCAGCCAAGACACCATCATGGCCACCATCGAGGCCGTCATCCACATGGCCCGGGAGGCGCCGCCCCTGCCCCCGCCACCACCACCGCCCCTGCCGCCCCCTCCACCACCGCCCCTACCCCCGCCACCCGCTCTACCCAAGACCCCCCGAGGCGGAAAGAGGAAACACAAACCGCAGGCCCCCGCTCAGCCCCCACAGCAGCCGCCCCCGCAGCAGCCCCTTCCCCAGGAAGAGGAGGTGAAAGCCAAAAGGCAGAGGAAGTCCCGAGGGAGTGAGAGCGAGGTCCTTCCCTAGGGCGGGTCTGGGCGTCTGCACCTGGGGCCTAGGGAACTGACACGTGGGAAGCGCAGTGAGCCGGGGCGGGGGCGAAATCCCCCAGCTGCAGGGACACCCACGCCCTTCTCTCCAGAAGCCGGGCAGGCAGAATCGGGCCAGAAGACGGGGCTGAGCCAACCGAAGCTCTTGGGAAAGCAAAGCAGGGAGACACCAGAAGAAGCAGCTTGTCTGAGCCTCACCGCAGCTCCCACCACGCGGCGCTCCAGTGCGGCTGGGTCCTCCGCAGGCCCCCAGGCGCCCAGGAGGAGCAGGCTGGTGGCGCTCTCTTGACCTCCCGCTGCCACGGTGCGCCCTCGACTCGGATTTCATTTGCTGGCCAGGGAAATCGAAAGGGAAACACCCTCAATTAGGAAACATTCCAAGGGGAGAAAAGCTGCAGATTGCTCAACTGGCATTGCTGTAACCCATTTCCATTTAATTGGTTTTTTTTTTTTTTTTTTTTCTTTTGGTTTTCAAGCTCTGCTAAGCTTTGGGTACCAACGTCATCTTCCCGTGACCTGAATCTTTCCCTTAACCGTACAGTTTCTCAGATGGAATTGTGTGATCAGAAGGTGAAATTCTAGTGATAGGCGACCTTAGACCCGCATTCATGTTCTGTGTGCTTCCTCTATCGCACATACACTGATTTTTAGCATTGTCTGTTCCTACTTTTCCTTTTCCCATTGTACTTCCATATACCTTTTCATTAACTTATTTGCTGCCTTTTTTGTTTTTCTTGGTACACATTTAAATAGTGTAATCCTTAACCTGTGCTGTAAAGTTCACCCTTGGCATGCTGTTCCAAGAAGCTGGCTTTGAATCCAATCATTGTGAAACATACTCAGTATTGACAAAAACCTTTTTAATAAGTGACGCAGAGCAGCCAAGGATGTGTTGACCCAGATGTCAACCAGGCTGTTTTTATACTTAAAACATATCAGCAGAGCATAGGCAGAATAAAATGGTTTTAGTACCGCACAGCAAATGGAATAACTGACAAACCACCAAAAACTGAAACCCCAGACCCACCAGAAAGACAAGTGTCTAGCGATGCCTTGTTACCTGATCTTTTTCATACAAATGATTGTCATAGTTTGTTCAAAAAAAGGAAACAAAAAGACAATAGAAGAAGTCCATTATCCCTTGAAAATTATTTCTTAAAAGCAAATGGGAGTAAGTGTTCTTATCTGGAAAAAAAAAAAAAAAAGAAAATGCTCAAAGGGTATCACCACTTCAATTATATCAAGCCACCTTGGACAAAGTATCCAAATTGTGGTTGCCTTAATAAACTAAAACATTATTGTACATAATGTAATTATAAATCTATCAGTCTGCATGGATGCAAACTGTGTGTGACAAATCGTCTTTTAAATGGTCAATTTCAGCTGTACATTTCTCATCGAAGTTGTACTCTAGCCATTGGTTTAGCGTGGACAGATATTCCATCTCTATTATCCATTTCCACAGCCCGAATAAAATATGTTAAGCAGGCTCAGAATGAATATGAAGAATTCCATTTCCGTAGATGTTTTCTAAAAGTCAGATTGTGGAAATTTCAAATAGTATTTTCAATTTCCTCCCTCACTCCCCCTTACCTTCCCCAAGACATCAAACACCTGGCATGGTAGATTACAGAAAGAGACACTGAGAGAGAGAATTAAATTTTCTAATGGTAATTAGAATATCTGGTTTACCTCCAAATTAAGTTTCTTTACAGGAAGTTGGGACCAGCTGGAAATTGTATTATCACTTCAGAACACAATATTATTTCCTTAGAGATGGATTTTTATTGGCAACATAAAACAATAAGTGATGGGGTATTTACGTGAGTAAATTTTTAATTTCCAAGTTAATATGCTTGCATACATCACTGCTCCGTCATGGCACCAGCAGTTGGTTGAAATTACCCACATAGTCATACTCTTCTGGTCTGTCACCATGGACTTCACATCATTTGCTACCCACTAGGTCAGTCACATTTAATCCTAGCAATATGTAAGTTTAAAGGACTGCCTTCCCCTGTTCTTTAACGCTTACATCCTAGGTACTCAGTTTGTGACCTAGATTGACCTTTGGCATTTCACGTAAGTTGAAAAGCAAAATCAAAGCAGCCATTTTTAATTCGCCATTCCCAAGCTATGTCTGAGTGGTTCCAAAGTCACCTGAAAGGAAGGTTTAAATTAGCCCCTCTCACCCCGCCATTGCTATGAAACAGCAACCATTTTCATTCCAATTCAGCCATAAAGAGGTTTCTCTTCTTACTGAATTTTGAAATCATTTCCTTCTTTCTTTCATTTGCCCTTCTTCCTTCCTGTGTTGTGTTATCTCTCCAACCACATCTATAAGCAGAATAAACCTTGCAGAGGAGGATGAGCTGGCAGGCACTCTGCAGACTAATAAGGACCCAAAGTTTAATTGACATTAACCTCTAGTAAGTGAGAAGTTCCCAGAACACCTTTGAATGTGTTAGAATTTCCAGACCTCTGAAAGATATTTCAAGAAATTGAAGAGTTGCAACTTACAGGTGAATTCTGGTCTACAGTGGTCATGTGAGTTAAATTCGAATCCTCTACATGTATGACCCTAGATATAGATTGGAATACTGCAGAGGACCAAAGCTGAGGCATGCTAAACAGCCACTGGGAGGCAGAAGCAAGTTCCATCACCTACACAGCCTCCTCTCCACCACCCAGTTTCTCCCTCAGTGTCATGTTATTTTTTTCTGCTGCTTTTCATTAACCTAACTCATCTCATCAGTACAACCATTTCCTGATTCTCTAACTACCCCCATTCCGTTAGCCTCTCCCCTCTTGTCCAAACTCAGCTCAGCAGTGGGCCAATGTAGCTTCACAACCAGTTGGTTGTAGAGCTGGAAAGAAAACCCAGCTCTCCCGACCCAGAGTGTGGCGGTATCTGGCCACCCAACGATGCCTTCTGGGGCTGCATTTCTTTTTTAGAAGAGGTCATTTGGGATACATGGTACTCCATATACAGGTTCACAAAATAGTTTATAAGAGAAATCCCTTGATTTTTATTTATTTTTCTTTTGTTGTCTGGATTACTTGCCTTCAGTAAGCAGAAGGCACCCACTTGTAAGGAGTCTGGTTAGTGGACCCACTTGTAAGGAGTCTGGTTAGTGGACCCACTTGTAAGGAGTCTGGTTAGTGGACCCACTTGTAAGGAGTCTGGTTAGTGGACCCACTTGTAAGGAGTCTCGTTAGTGATGAGAAAAGGTTGAACTCTAGATACAAAAGCTTCCTTGAAGGTGATGATGGATCTTTAATCCACCTGACTAAGTATCTGGAAGAGCCACTTGCTTTTCCACCCCTGATCTCAAATGAGAGGAGCAGAAGTTTAACTTCCTCAAATAGCCTGGCTCTGGCTAAAACCCAAGGAAGAAAGGTCAATGGAAAGGAAAGAAAAGCATGTCAGGGGCTGGTTTCTGACTTGGCAGGACCAGGAACCAGCAGCCACTGACAACCCAAAGAAGGTGACTAAGGGCTGGCAGAAGATTAGCATGTTAACTTGGCTGCCGTCCGGAGTAGGAGGCCATATTCAGTGGCAGTCAGAATTTGTGTTCTGCACATTGCTGGGTCTATAAATATGATAAGCAAGTGGTGACAGAATTATAGAATAAGGTGATGTATTACATGCAGATCATAAAGGATTTGGTTTTAAGACTTAAGTAGAAAATCCCACTCCTAGCTTATTACTCAACAATATTCAGATAATGAGCTTTTGGAGAATATTTTTTTTCCTATCACTAGAAAGATTTACCTGGAAACTGTCTAAAGTCTATATACATATTTCCAAAGCCTTTAAATACCAACCGTAGCATAGAGAGAGAGGGTGGCAGAAGCTGAAATGCCTCAAAAGCCATTTAAGTGTTACGTTGCAGGATTTTCAGTCCTTCTCGTTATGTAAAAGTAGATAAATATAGACGTTATTCTCAACACTACCCTATAGTATCACAGTGGTCCAAATGCCAGAGCTTACAGATAATGTCATCACAGTGCCTAGAAACTCGAACTGTAATATACCGTAGCATTTTCTTGGTGTTTCTTAAAGTTTCTTTCCACAATACAAGGTCCTCTCTGCCTCTTGTTTCTTGGAGAGTTCACCCCACTGATGAGTCTTCTTTCCCTGTTGGACTCACTCATTTGGGGAACAGTCTTAGAAGCACATATCAACCAAGGAAGAAACTTCCTGGATATCTATTGCCCACTTGCCCAGGTATAATAAACACTAAAGGGGGGAAATTGAAAGGAGCTGCCAGCTGATCAACGTGGAAGGGCAGTTCCACCCTAGATTGGTCTTTCTTTTTCTTCCTTTTTTTAAAAAAAAAAAAAATCTATTTCTTAAATAATAAATGCACATGACGTGTTAATATGTACATATATATTTCAAAAGAAAAAAATGGGGCACAAGATTGTCTTACAAGTCGTGCTGGCTAATTTTTAGTTTGTATTCATAAGTGGTTTTTAAAAGCCTTTTTTAAAGTGTAATTTGCATGTTCTACTTTGATTGTATGTAAACATATTTTAGAACAAAAAATGTATTTGTATTTTATTGAATATAGAGGCAAGAAAAATTGTACATTGTTTGAAATGTTCTTTTTGTAACAGTTTTTATTCATAAAGCATTTTTGTACATTTAAAATGAACATGGACTTGCTGTTATTTGAGGCGTAGCTCCATCTAGCATGCTTACTGTCATGCTCCCCCATGGTCTTAGATGTTGGGTTTTAAACATTTTTTTCTAAAAGAAAGCTCAGTCTTTTTCGCTACCAGATCAGGTTAGCACAGTATACAGCACTTAACTATTAAAAAAAAAAAAAAGTTAATCCTATTCATATGTTATTCATTGTGTGAAATTAAAGACATTCAATTCAGTCTAACGTGAGTTGTGAATTCTTTTGTTTTATTTTCCATCTGGTTCACATCACTAAGGAGTGTAATAGCATTTGGGGGTCTTTGCTCACACCAACTGGATACAGAATCATTGAGAAAATTTTAACAAAACTTCTGTCTTTTGTATGATACTGGGAAGCACATTCTGGGTAAAAGTCGAGTCTGATTTACTGGGTTACTGTTCATAGAGTATTGCACTAACTGGCCACCAAGCCAGGGCTGAGTCATAGAATTGGTCAGACCTCTGCTGAGAGCAATCAAAAGATACTGGAAGATGTTGAAGACCCACTCTGTCCTAAATTTTTAGAAGAGCATTACAGACAGGGATTAAGCTTTCTTATTAAATACCCCATGATGTCAGATATCTGAAGGAAGGATCCCTGGCTGCACTTAAAGTTTTACTGGAGTGACAGGAGGGGCTACTTAATAAATGACAGACAGTTACTGATTATCTACGCAGTGCCTATGCTGAGAGTCCTTGCTCTAAAGGGACTTATTAGGCCTACATTTGAAAAATGAAACTAGCAGTGTGAGGCAGAATATGGCCAGTGGTGAGAGAGCGATGGGGTCTCAGAAGAAAGGTGGAGTCTTCATTGTCTTCGCTGCCTATTTTTTCCACTCTTTCTGTTCCAGTTTTTAGTTTGTATTTATAAGTGGGGTTTAAAAGCCTGTCTTAAGTACTCTGCACATTACTAATTGTATGTGAATATACATGCATTTATGTATTTTTTGCCTTCTTTCTTTGTCTTACCTGTGGATGTGTGTCTTCCAAAAGCCAAAGCCAACAAAATAGGCAGGAAAAGTTATGAGCTGCTCCCCATCCCTAACCATCCATCTGGCCCAACATAACATCCCCTGTGATTTCAGTATTTGCAGCACCTGCGGTAGAATTGCAGCAGTCAGCAGAAGTCTTCAGGAGTGGAGTCTTAGGGAGCACTGTGGGAGGAGTGACACACTTCTACTCCAGCTCATCTCCTGAGACTCAGAGAATTTGTTTAGCAACCTCTAGTAGAATAGAACTTGCCTCCTTTTTTCTTTCCTCCTCCGACTATCTTGCACTGAACTAGAACAATTTAAAGCATTCTATAGTCCTCGTGCTAACTTGGGCTCATTAGTTCCGTCGGTATTTCTGAAATCGGCAAGGACTTCCAAGCGTGGTCCTAATCTCTTCCTACCAGCTTCTCATGCAGGGACAAAGCTGTTGCCTAGGAATAGATTGGCTCAACACTAAAGTTTTTAATCAGTCCCTAGTGGAGCAATGTGCTGACAAAGATTCTCAGGAAAGTTGTATGTGTCCACACGTGGCTGGCACAAATCTCAGGCTAGAAATTGATGGGTGGGAGGAATATATACTTTTAATATTTTCTCCAGCTCGACTTTATGAATTTTTAAGGCCTCATTCCACCAGCATATAGCAGAATTTTATTTGCAGAGCTAGGGAATTATTCTTCTAATCTGGAGGGGAAAGAAGGAGGGGTCCTGGAAAGCCTGGCTCCAGCTTTCTTCCAAATTGTTTCTCTGTGCCCAATTCCTTTCTATTTCCTAAGTTTCTAGATATTTGAAGCCAGAAAGAAAGTATTTTTCATGTTTTTCCCTGCTTTTTGCTGTCAGAAACATGCCCTAGGGGGATAAGTACAAACCAGCCTCGCTGCCTGTACTGGGGAGAGGCGACCACTAGAATAGTGAGGATGCTGAAGATCAGTTGCCACATGGAAATATGTAACCTGTGACACATGCAGTAGGGCATGAGGGCAATGGGAGGTGCAGGGCTGAAAGATTTGCCCTGGGCCATAAAAGGCTCCTTACAAGTCAGATGAAATAATGAATGGCTATGAAAGGGAGTGGGCAGGTGGAAAACCGTGGTGTGTGAAAGCGGTGTGTGCATTTCCGTTCCTTATTACTAACACTTTCACTTTTATGGAAATGCCAATACCCAGTTTTAAATCGTTATCAAGGTGTGGTAGTACACTTTTCTAAAGTGTCATAAGGGCTTTCCTTTTGGATTCATTAAAGAAAAAACTAGTTCCAAAGTGTTACATTCACATATGGAAAGATTGGGAAGTAATAAATGATAAGTGTTAAAACCTCAAAAGAGTTGGAAACCATACATCCTCTCATTATAAAGCTTGATATTTTAAAGCTTAATTCTCTACTTTTTAGGAAACAGAGCACCAACATAAGGGTCAAGTGACATGGGATGTGTTCGTTCTTGGTCACTAAAGAACTCTGTATATAGGAGCAAAACTTCTTTGAGTCTCATCTGCCTACTATATAAGATGGGAGGTTAAACTCTCAATGGCGTCTACAATGTTTTTCAAGTCAAAAATCTCTGATTCTGCCATCTTTGTACCTTCCAAACAGAATCTACCTTTGATTTTCAACTTTATTCTCCATGATTGTGAAAAGCCAGCAACACTCTGGGAGTGTTGTCTTAGCAGTCTATCCTATCCTAACACTATGTGGTAGTATGGAAGAAGTTAATGAAAAAAATGGAATGAGGACATAATGAAAAAAATGGAATGAGGAAAGTTAAATCTTTCCTTCCTTCTTCTCTTCCTTCATTCCTTCCTCTCTTCTTTCCTTCCCTGCTTGCACATTGCTAGGTACTAAAGATGGACGAATGAGCAAGAAAGACAAGGCCTGGTTGAGTTTTATTCAAGCAAATATTCCTAGTTCATGACTACCCTCCCTATATTCTCTGCCTATTCAAATTCTACCTATTTTTAAGCTGTAATTCCAAATTCACCTTCTCCAGGAAATCTTACAACCACAGTTCAGAAACACCTCTTTATCTTTTGTACCACTCATTTGGTAACTGCCCTTAATAATTCTGCATATGACAGAGCATAATCGTCAACCAGGGGTGTCATATAAGGTTGCACCGGTTGCTCCCTGCACAAGGGAACTTGGCTGACAAAATCAGGGCTGAAATCCCTCTGAACTTCTCTTGCCAAGATCTGTTCCCTTGCTGTGGTGTCCACCCTGAGTGGGCATCTTTTTCTCATTTTCACAAAATTTCTTTTGCGAGAACAGAACCCTTAAAAAAATTCAAGATCTACTGTGTATCTTTGTAAAGCAGAATAAACTCCTAGCAGAATAGTATCTGTCACTTCTTCCCACTCAAACCATCCACACTGCCCTTGCCTCAAGGCCTCTATAGCCACTCGCAAATCCAGGAAATCCTACCACCACCATTATAGTCAGCAATACTCTATACTCTAGAAGACTCCAGAATCCATTTCCAAACTTAACAATTGCCCCAGCTCTCTGCCAGGAGAAGCTGGAAGAAAATAATGATATCAAAAAACAGCCTTGCACAAATGTGCCAGCTAGGTTCAGTGTCACATCCCCATGAGGACAGTTTACTAAGATGCTGGCATCTGACATCTCACAAAGTCTTCAATTTTCTAAAGACTTTTAAAATTTTTATTTTTACGTAATTACAGAGTCACAGGAGGTTGCTAAAGAATATATTAAGTCCTATGCAAGCATCTCCTAACTCTCCCCATCCCATTCCATGCCAACATCCCACACAACCACAGTACAATATAAAAACCAAAACATTGATATGGACCCAATCCGTAGAGCTTATTCAGACTTCACCACATATACATGATTTCATTTATGTATGTGTATTTGTGCAGACGGTTGTAAGTGCAGAGATCTGTGCAATTTTGTCACATGTATATAGCCTTATGAAACAGCCACCACAGTCAAGATATTCAATTGTCCCGTAGCCACAGAACTTCCCCTGTGGTCATATGCCTTTGAGTTCCCCTCACCATCCTTAACCCCTAGCAACCACAAATGCCTGCTCCATCTCTATAATTCTCTTATTTCAAGAACGTTACATAATAGAATCATGCAATATGTATCTTTTTAAAAGTAAAGCCCATTTTTAGAAAAGTTTTAGATTTAGAAAAATTTATGAAGTTTTAAGAGATGTGGCCTCACTCTGTTGCCTAGGGTAGAGAGCAGTGGTGCAATCATAGCTCACTGCAGCCCAAACCCCTATGCTCAAATGATGCTTCTGCCCCAGCCTCCCAAGTAGTTGGGACTACAGGTGTGCACCACCACACCTGGCTATTTTTTTTTTTTTTTTTTTGGTTTCTGTAGAAACAGAAGCTGGCTATGTTGCCCAGGCTGGTCTTGAACTTCTGGCCTCAAGCAATCCTCCCACCTCGGCCTCCCAAATCACTGAGACTATAGGTATGTGCCACTGCACCCTGCCCTCTCCATTTTCAAACTGTATTCTTTGGAAGGAAGTCACTTTATGGAGCCCACACTTAAGAAAATGTGGAGTTATGCACCACCTCCTCAAGGTCTGCATATATACATAAATTATTTGGAATTCTTATGCACAGGAGATTTGGGTTTTTAACACTTTTGATTTTGAAATAATTTTAGACTTACAGAAAAGATGCAAAAACAGTACAGAATTCTATTTAATGCCTTCACCCAGCTTCCTCTGATGTTAACATCTTATATAACCATAGTACAATGATCAAAACTCAGAAATTAACTGTGGTACAATACCATTAGCCTCACTGCAAACCACATTTCACCAGTTTTTCCAATTATGCTGTTTCGAAACATTTTGAGAAATATTAAGTTGTGGTAAAATACACATAATGTAAAATTTATCATCATAGCCAGTTAAAGTGTATAGTTCAATAGTGTTAATTATATTCACTGGAGATTGTGCAACCAATCTCCTGAACTTTTTCATCTTGCAACACTGAAACTCTATACCCATGAAAAAACTCCCCGCCATGTCCCCATCTCCCCAGTCCCTAGAAACCACAATTTTCTCCTTCTGTCTCCACGAGTTTGACTACTCTGGATACCTCAGACAGGAGGCTTGTCTTTTATCCTTCATTTATTCATTTACTCGATGATTTGTTTGTATCATTATAGACTCATGGACACCTGCTTTATATTTTGGCTTTTATTCCAACACCACTTTATTTTATTGCTCAACTTAGTA